GCAAACTAAAAATATTTGAACAGTATTAGCATTGCCAGGAAGATTAAAGAGGGCTGGGGAACCAGACTTTCACTGACAGATTGCAACAATTTTGCAGTAAACAATGAAACAAAAGATTGGCTGTAGCCTAACCAACTGTAACTCTGCCTGCCTACAACAGGCAAGTTAAACAGCAGCAGTCCTTTACTGAGCGTATACGCACAGCAAAATCAAAAGAAAGGGAGAATGCAGATATTTCAGTCCCACCAGCTCTCCCCAACATTTTCAAGAGGTTGACTGCCAAACTACAAATATAAGTGGATGAGAAAAAGGAAGTACTGTATTTCTTCAATTCTAAGATGGACTTTTGCCCCCATGTAAACATCTCTAAAAATAGGATGTGCCTTAGAATCGCAAGTGTATCTTATGTATTTTTGTTGGTGGTGAAATTCAGGTGCGTGTTACTATCAAAGGCGTCTTACAATTGAAGAAATGCAGTGATTTCTAGAATGCTCAAAATGATTTGTTTACTCATTCAAGACTTGATCTGCCTGTTTCATAGAATCATAGAATCATAGAGTTGGAAGAGACCTCATAGGCCAACCCCATTCTGCCAAGAAACAGGAAAATTGCATTCAAAGTACCCCCGACAGATGGCCATCCAGCCTCTGTTTAAAAGCTTCCAAAGAAGGAGCCTCCACCACACTCCGGGGCAGAGAGTTCCACTGAACAGCTTTCATTTCATGTGAGACTAAAAACCTGGCTGAAGCATGCCATATTTCCTTTTCTCTCTCTCTTTTTTCTGTGATGTGGAATTTTTCCCTATTTTTCTCATGTTCTGCCTCTCATACCAAATTCTCTAGTGCCCAGGAAGCATTTACTTCACTAGCAGAGATATACCTTTACTACGTGTTTTATTGAACCTGGAGATTTACTCTTTTAGCTGTTTATTTAAACTATTTCTTCATTGTTGCATTCTTTGATTTTGAAACTTTATTTTCTTCCCCTTTTCCTCCTTCAGGGCAATTCCTCATCCAAGAGGCCACGCACACTTGGCAGCTCTTGTGAGCCATGAATGTAAGCCATCTCTTGTCATTTATCTTATAGTTATTCTTAACTTATGTTTGTTGCAGATCTATATGTCTAAAAATGAACATAGACTATTGTGGAAATGTACTGTTTGAAATACAATATGTTAATACTACATGCCTTTGAGCAGGGGTCCTCAAACTAAGGCCCGGGGGCCAGATACGGCCCTCCACGGCCCTCTCTCAGGGTCAATCTAAGTGTGAAATGACTTGAAAGACACAACAACAACAACAATGCTGTCTCATCAACAAAAGCAGGACCACACTTCACATTGAAATACTAATAAGTTTATATTGTTAAAATTGTTCTACATTTTAATTATTGTACTGTTTTAAAGTGTTTTTTGCACTACAAATAAGATATGTGCAGTGTGCATAAGAATTCATTCTTTTTTTTCAAAATAATAATCTGTCCCTCCAACAGTTTGAGGGACTGTGACCTGGCCCTCTGTTTAAAAAGTTTGTGGACCCCTGCCCTTGAACATTGGACCAGTCTGGATCTATAAGTGAAACTAGATTTTGCGGAGCAAGAGTATATAGGATATTGACTATGTTCCACTTTTGGTCTTTTTCCCCTTTCATAGGCCTTTATTCCCCCTTCCCATGACTTTCATGTCTCTTCTTAGCCTTTCTCCTCCAAACTAATGTAGCTCCCTGTGTCATCTATATAAATAAAAATGTAAAGTTCATTTGTGGGATTAACAGAACTCAAAAACCACTGGGGGGATTGACACCAAATTTGGACACAATACACCTAACAACCCAATGTATGTCCTTCACTCATAAAAACACTGAAAAACACAGCAGAAGGGACTTTAAAAGCCCCCAAAAGCTAAATGACGAAAAGCTAAATGACAATACAGAAAAAAGGGAAGAAAGAGGGAGGGAAGGGGAGAAAAAAAGAAAGAAAGAAAAGAAAGAGGGAGGGAAAGAAAGAAGGAAAGGGAGAAGGAAGCATGGAAGCAAAGAGAGAAGGAAGAAGGAAAGAGGTAGAGAAGGAAGAAAGGAGAGAAAGAGGGAGGGAAAGAAAAGGGGGAAGGAAGGAAAGTTAGAGAAGGAAGGAAGGAGAGAAGGAAAGAAAAAAGGGAAAGAAGGAAGGAAAGAGGGAGCGAAGGAAGGGGGAAGATGTAGAGAAAGAGGGAGGGAAGGAAAGAAGGAAAGAGACAAGGAAGAAAAGAGAGACAGCAGAAGAGAAAGAAAAGGGGGGAAAGGAAGGAAAGAGATAGAGAAGGAAGGAAGAAGAGAAGGAAAGAGGGAGTGAAGGAAGGAGAGAAAGAGGGAAGGTTGGCCACAGCAAAGCGTGGCGGGTACAGCTAGTTCCTCATAAAAATGTGATTCCAACTCAAGACAAACATAATTGATTTTTTTAACCTGTGGTTTGTCGGATAATGTTATATTTACAACAAAAAGAAAACAATTATCCTAAAATGTGCTTGTTGTAATAATAGAAGCTTTCCTTCATTGAAAACCTGATTGGCATGAAAGAGTGAAACTGAAATAGAACTGGGGGTATTTTGTTCAATTCTGTTCAACTTAAGCCAGCTTGTAAATTTTGTATCTTTGGTTATTTTTGTTTCTTCCAGCATACAATTTCTCCCACAGAATAGATCATTTGTCTTTTGGTGAACTCATACCGGGGATTATTAATCCTTTAGATGGTACTGAAAAGATTGCGTCAGACCGTAAGTGTTGTACACCTAACATGAAACTACTGCAGATGTTCTGTTGAATTTGTTGTTTTTAATTCACTTTTGCATTATGATAAACTATTATTGAATGTAAGGGCTTTGTATATTCTGTCAATTAGCTTTGACTGTATATATATATATATATATATATATATATATCAATTCAAATTTCTAAATCGCACCCTCTGTCCAAAGATATCGGGGCTCCATATAGTAGTTTCAGTTCACATCACTAACAGTAATTATATTAAATAACTTACCAATGAGACCAGCTAAAACAGTGTAAAGTGATGCAAATGATAGCCACGTTTTAACTTGTCATCAAAACGGTATTAGCATTGGCACCAGTCAGGCCTCTACGGAGAGGGTATTGCATAACTGGAAATCCATAGCAAAGAAAACTCTTTCAGTCCCCTTCTACACTGACATATAATCCATATTATATTATCTGCTTTGATAATCTGGATTATGTGGCAGTGTAGAAGGGGCCTCAGTTGCCCCCCAGAGGGACACGTATACTCTGTATATACAGATCTCCCTCCACATTTGTGGTTTTGTGGTTGTTCAATGTGGGATGTTCAATGTGATTTTATTGCCCTTTTAATTGGTAGTGATTGATTGCTGCATTTTATGGATTATTTTATTGCTTTTGAATATTTTTATTGTATTTTTAGTTAATTCTCGCAAGTATTTTATGTCATTTGGAACGTTATTTCTGATTTATTTATGTATTGTACGGCACTGTAATGTGCTGCTTTGTTACACGGGATATAAATAAAGTAGTAGTAGTTGTTATTATTACTATTATCTTTTGCAAATTTGATTATTCATGGATTTTATTTTTTTAATGTTTAATACATAGATTTTATTTTTATAATGTTCGTCTAGGAAGCTTTTGGTCCTCTAGTGTGACTTTATGGCCAACTTCCTCCAGTCATGCTGGAGGACCTAGAGATTTCTAGAGAGGACACCTCTAGGAATCTGCATGTCCTCCAGTGTGATTCTGTGGTCATTTTCCAGGAGATGTTGAATACAGAGTCATGTTGGAAGACTTAGAAATTCCTAGAGAGGTGTTCACTCATGTTTAAAAAATAAAAAATTTCATTACTAGCAGTTTTCTACTTTTCTGAGAGTCTTGTGTCCCTAACTCAAGTGGATGTAGAGGACCAATTATATCGTACATACCTTAAATTGTAGCACCATTAGTTAGAGTAGGGTTGAGTCCTTTGTGCTATTCATACATCCCTTTATTTGTTTACATCCCATTTTTTCTCTCATCCCTTTGTTTACATCCCATCTTTTCTCTCAGACTGGGACTCAAATAGATTGAACTATATTTCACCCACAATTGCCTCCCCTCCCCCAAATAATCGCACATAAATTGCATCCCTGAAAACAAATATTGGCTTGTAATTTGAGATATCTTGGGGCAGTGCACCCTGTGGTGGAGCCTGGCCTGGAAAATTGGGTTCTGGTTCCTCCAAAATTGCCTAACTCTGCCTTACAATGTTTGAACGGGATTTGGGAGATCCAGGTTAGGGTCTTCTTTTAACTATGAAATGCACTAGTCGGTCCTTCTTTCCCACGCTAGTCTATTTCATGGGCTTGATGTGAGAATAACATGGGGAGGAGAAGACTACCTCCTTGAGCTCAGTAGAAGAAAGATGGGATAAATGAATACGTCCAGGTTTTCCCTCTCATGGTATAGTGTATTGCCTATTTTTCATTTGCAGTATAGACACCTTTCTGCAGACATTTGACCGCAATTCAATATGGTGACTTCATTTTTATTTGCATTCTTTTTCTATCAGACAACCTGATGTTCCAGTACTTTATTACAGTCGTGCCAACAAAGCTTCATACGCACAAAATTTCAGCAGAAACTCATCAGTTCTCAGTGACAGAAAGGGTAAGTGTTTATTTTTTTTCCAAATAAAATTTTATTTTATTTAAATTAATAAGAAAGAAAGAAAAGAATATTTTGATATTCCAAGTAAAGTGGGAGAACAATATTGTGTAGCAAAAGTAGGAAAGGTAGGGGGAGAAAAAAGAAAAAGAACTAAAAGAAAAGTTGTTGAAAAGTATCTAATTTTTTTTTAAAAAAAGAATAAACAATCACCATACAGCAACCTCCAAAAAAAGGGGGGGGGGGGAAATAAATTAAAATATATATATATATATATATATTAAAAATTGTGACTTCTGTCTAATCCTTTGCGTTTATAAAATTGTTCAGTCAGTAATCTTCTGTAGAAATAAATGGCTTTAACATTGACCACCCTTGTGTTCTGTAGTTTGACAAAGCCTTGATCCTTCTCTGCCAAAGGATGCTGATGCCTCACCAAACTACAAATCCCAGGATTCTATTGCATTGAGCCATGGCTATTAAATTAGAGCCAAGGCCCACCAAATAGGAGCTCCAGATACTCCTGAAACAGCTTCCCCTTTTGTTTTGACTCCGCTTCTAGGATTACCGTATTACATGAATCTAATGTGCACCCTAATTTTGGCAAGGCAGTTTAGCCAAAAAGGGTCAACATAAGATTTGAGTAAATAAAATATATTTATCCTGATTCTAGCTGTGAGGGACTGCAACTTTCTATTTGTATCTGGCACAAGTAAATCTCATTTGCCTTTCTATTTAACTTAATAACAAAAATTGTATGATTTATTTTTCTTGTATTTTCTAGGAAAGAGTGATCAACCATGCAGCTGGGAGTCATGGGGTGTCTGGCATTTTCATGAAATATGACATTAGTTCACTTATGGTGACTGTGACAGAAGAGCACATGCCTTTCTGGCAGTTTTTAGTGAGACTTTGTGGCATCATTGGAGGAATCTTTTCTACTACAGGTACAATATTAGATAATATTAAGTTGCTAAATCCATACCCCGTATCATCAAGAATGCAGAACAAACTAAGATTGTGTAACTTGGTGTGTGTGTTCCTGTACAATGGTATTACAGATGATAGGATATTTAATATATTAGAACAGGGATCCTCAAACTTTTTAACAGAAGGCCAGGTCAGAGTCCCTCAAACTGTTGGAGGGCTGGAAAAAAAACCCCTAATTTGAATTCTTATGCACACTGCACATATCTTATTTGTAGTGGAAAAAAAACACTTTAAAGCAATACAGTAATTAAAATGAAGAACAATTTTAACAAATATAAACTTATTAGTATTTCAGTGGGAAGTGTGGGTCTGCTTTTGGCTGATGAGATTGTTAATCGCATCTCCGCACAGCAAGGCAAGGAAACACATCAATCACAGTCTCCTTTAGGCTATGAGCTAATTTATTATACTATTTACACAAGAAGCTAAGCAGATCGTAAAATTTGCTTCCTTCTCTATTGGCAGCTACATTGCGAACAAGAACACGTTATCAGCATTAGTCCACACCTCCTGCATTCCAGAGTGACGCATGACGTACGATGCACTACGCTTTGTCCATTGCTCTCTGTACTAAGATTTATGACCTCTCTAAGAATGCCATTTCTCTTCATAGTACAATTAACCCTTTCCACACAGGAATTCTCTCGGCACATAGCATTACATTTTATTTATTTATTTATTTACTTACTTTACTTGTATACCACAGTTTCTCAGCCTAACAGGCGACTCAACGCGGTTTACAACAAAGGTACAACAGTCAACAGTATACAATTTAAAACCATAAAAGCATTACATTTTAAACATACAAAATTCACTGTGAAATCTATGGAGCCCCCGGTGGCCCAGATTTTCTTGGGTGGAAGCTATAATCAGCCTGAGTTCATAGTAGTTTATAAAGCTCTCCATTGTTACTTCATTGAAAAGGCTTTACACCGGAGCTGTAAAGGAGCCCCCGGTGGCGCAGTGGGTTAAACCCCTGTGCCGGCAGGACTGAAGACCGACATGTTGCAGGTTCAAATCCGGGGAGAGGCGGATGAGCTCCCTCTATCAGCTCCAGCTCCTCATGCGGGGACTTCAGAGAAGCCTCCCACAAGGATGATAAAAACATCAAATCATCCAGGCATCCCCTGGGCAACGTCCTTGCTGATGGCCAATTCTCTCACACCAGAAGCGACTTGCAGTTTCTCAAGTCGCTCCTGACACGACAAAAAAACAAAAACAAACCCCAATCTTTGAAATCTACATTACACATTTTCAAAACACATCAACAGAGATAAGATTGTTGTTGTGGTTGTTGTTGTATGCTTTCAAGTCGTTTCAGACTTAGGTTGACCCTTAGTGAGGGCCGGGTAAATGACTTTGAAGGGCTGTATCTGGCCCCCATGCCTTAGTTTGAGGACCCCTGTACTAGAATATCACTACGGCATACATTCCTTTCTATAATATGAGAATGCATAGGAATCTTGTAGCACTTTAGAGACTAACTGAGGGAACGAAGTTGGTAGCATAAGGTTCTGTAGACGTACGTTTACCTCCTCAGATGTAGAATCTCACTGTACCATACATTCCTTACTGTTGGTGTCAACTCATCCAACCCAACAGTTATATATTTTAGGTCCTCCTTTCTTTATCAGTCTGAGCCAGGGAGCGTGCAAATAGAAATTGAATCCTGCCACTGTTACGTCTTTTGGAGCGTGTCTCTGGCATCTGTGGCTTGAAGATAACAAAGTTGATCTGGAGTTGCTCATCTTTATCTTATATTACTAGTGTCTCTCTTTTTTCCTCTCTTTTCCCTTTTGGCTAAAACTTAAATTTTAAGGTAATAGCAACAGAAAACTCTGTTATACTGTTCTGTGAACCACTTGACTAATTAATGATACGATGTATAAAAATGGAATTTATAACCAAGTAGCAGGGTTAGTGATTCTGTTCATTTGCCAGTTGGGAATATCATAGTTTCCAATCTTGCTATTTCAAAGTGTCCTGACTTCGGATTTGCAGGGAGAGGCTACATATTTAAAAACACCTGTAAATCCTGTTTTTCGGCAAATGGTATATGCTTAAAATAGGTATATCAAGGACTTGATCCCTGTTCTTCTTGTCTTCTGTTTACTATTCTTCATGACCTAAACAAAGAGTAATTTCTTTTCCAAATAAGTCATTTTTTGCTTTTGCTTTTTGCTGCTGTATTTTTGCTCTTGATGTTTTTTTTTTAAAAGAATTTTTATTTATTTATTTATTATTTCCAGTATTTCTACCCAATCCTTCTCAACCCTGGAAAGGGGACTCAGAACGGCTTATGCTTGGCAACAATTCAATGCCATACATACAAGCAAACAACAATAAAATAACAGTTTAAAAAATAGATAAATCGTTAACTTAAAAGCATTTTGTCAGTTGCTTCGGCGTTTCAAATTAATAGTTTTGTCACTTTGTTCCAAGAATATAATGATACTTTCTCCATCAGGGAAGAATTATAGAGCTTAGTAACAATTGTTTCACACACTTCACATTTAGGTATTCATTAAAATTATATTGTTTTCTACCAGAAATGTAGGGCCTGATATGATGTTATATAGCATTGATGCTTGTGTTTGTAAATAGGGATATCATAAAAGCTATACTTTTCAGGGATCTAGGATTTGACTTAGTTTCCTATTGAGTGTTATTGTGTCTTGAAGTGGATGCCAACTTAAGGCATCTCTATCTTAGCATTTTCTTGGTAAGATTTGTTCAGAACTGGGTACTATTGCCTTCCTATGGAGCTGAGAGAATGTGACTTGGCCAGGATTATTATTATTATTATTATTATTATTATTATTATTATTATTATTAGAAACAGAACAAGATGAGTCCACAGCAGACACTCTGTTGGCTGTTGTATTGGATCACATGTCGGACACTTCCCAAGTGTCTAGGACTGTGTGATGTATCGGCGAATAACGCATGCAGATCCCGGTAAGGTGGCCTTCTGCAACTGGCAGAGGGTAACTTTGTCCGCACTTATTGTGTTTAAGTTCAGGCCAAGGTCTTTAGGCACTGCACCCAGTGTGCCGATCACCACTGGGACCACCTTGACTGGCTTGTGCAGTGTCTTTGCAATTTGATCTTTATTATTATTATTATTATTATTATTATTATTATTATTATTATTGAATCACAACAAGAGTAGTACACAGCAAACAAGATCACTTTGCTGGTTGTTGTATTGGATCGCACGTCGGACACTTCCCAAGTGTCTAGGATAGGAACCCACACGATCCCTTCAATCATCTGGAGAGGCCCTGTTCACGATTCCACCTGCGTCGCAAGCGCATTTGGTGGGGACGAGGGACAGGGCCTTCTCTGTGGTAGCCCCCTGACTCTGGAACTCTCTCCCCAAGGACATCAGACAAGCCCCAATGTTGGCAGTCTTTAGGAAGAGCTTGAAGACCTGCCTGTTCCACTGTGCCTTTCCAGATTAGGAAACTCCTAGCATCATGTCCTAAATGCACTTTATTAGAGATTTAAGACTGCACATCGCACCTACCTCTAAAAACCTATACATTTCACCTGTCATGTCCAGCACTTTTAAATTTTATTCATTACATTTGGCCCGGCCTTTGGTTTTAAATGCATCATGGTGTTATTGTTTTAATGTTTATTGTTATTGCTTTAATGCTTATTGTTTTGATTTATGAGTTTTATTGTTGTATTTCTTATGCTGTTGTTTTATTGAGGGCCTTAGCCTTTGTAAGCCGCACCGAGTCCTTCGGGAGATGTTAGCAGGGTATAAATAAAGATGATAATAATAATAATAATAATAGGACTATGTGATGTATTGGCGAATAATGCATGCAGATCCCTGTAGCCTTTTGCAGCTGGCAGATGGTGATTTTGTCAGTGCTGATTGTGTTTAAGTGCAGGCCAAGGTCTTTATTATTATTATTATTATTATTATTATTATTATTATTATTTCTTACCACCTCTCCTCATTCCTTGACGTGGGTTACAGAATAATTAAAACAAATAAACATTGTAAAAATACCACAAATATACATATTAAAATGTATTTCTATAAAAGATACATATTAAAATGTATTTCTATAAAATACATATTAAAATATGCAAATCAGAGATTAAACGAAGGACACAAGTTTAACATTCATGTTTAGTTTTCTGGTGCAGCATGGATTCTAACTATTCTCTTAGGGCCCTTTCAAACAGGCCCTATATCTCGGGATCTGATCCCAGGTTTTCTGTTTTAAACTGGATAATATCAGTCTGCACTGCCATATAATCTGGGATAAACAGAAAACCTGGGATCAGATCCTGGAATATAGGGCCTGTCTGAAAGGGCCCTTAGATTCCCAGTTCAGTATAATACTTTGGTTCTTGCTCCACAATTTCTTTTACACTCGGGCTTTCTGTCACTTAATGAATAAAACCATTTTCTCTTTGTGATTATCAAAAAATAAAGCACATTTCTTAGCATCCCAAATGTTTTCATGTTTCAGGCATTTTACACGGCATTGGAAGATTCATAGTGGAAATTATCTGCTGTCGTTTCAAATTAGGATCATACAAATCAACATCTGTAAGTATCTTTAGTAGAATGTGTGTAGACACAAAAAGGGGTACGGCTTGGCTGTCATGGAATAAGTTTCTTGAAGTAATTCTTAAAGTTGAAAATAATAGTCCTTGTATGACTACAGCTGAGCCCCCAGTGGCACAGAGGGTTAAACCGCTGAGCTGCTGAACTTGCTGACCAAAAGGTCAGCGGTTCAAATTCGAGGAGTGGGGTGAGTCTGGTTATTAGCCCCAGCTTCTGGCAGTTCGAAAACATGCAAATGTGAGTAGCTCAATAGGTAAGGTAATGGTGCAGTCATGCCAGCAACGTGACCCCTTGGTGGTGTCTACAGACAACACCGGCTCTTCGGCTTAGACACCCCCCCCCCCCCGCCCAGTCGGATACGGCTAGACTAAATGCCAGGGGAAAAACTTTACCTTTACCTACTTTTTTTTTTTTGGTCATGTCAAGAGCAACTTGGTGTGAGAGAATTGGCCGTCTGCCAGGACGTTGCCCAGGGGACGCCCGGATGATTTTGATGTTTTTTTTATCATCATTGTGGGAGACTTCTCTCATGTCCCCGTATGAGGAGTTGGAGCTGATAGAGGGAGCTCATCCACCTCTTCCCGGATTCAAACCTCCGACCTGTCAGTCTTCAGTCCTGCCAGCACAGGGGTTTAACCCACTGCACCACCAGGGGCTCCTTTACTTACTACCACTACAGCTCCAGTGTAAAGCCTTTTCAATGAAGTAACAATGCAGAGCTTTATAAACTACTATGAACTCAGGCTGATTATAGCTTCCACCCAAGAAAATCTGGGCTTTATGGCTCAAATTGAATGTAATTCAGGCCCTTATTGGAAAACCAATTGAACTGTCTTTGGGGATCCTGATTTGATGGCCTGGCAGTTGTTTGGTGTGGCTTGTTGGTGCCTGGAGCAATCTTTTGTTGAGATGTGATTAGAAATGCTGGACCAAAGCAAAAGAAGCTCCAGATCCAATGTGTGGTTGGCTCCAGGCATTGTCAGGGCGTTATATGCTAATCAAGGTGATCAGTTGAAACATTCACACCTAGCTCCAGCAGGCAAGAGTCCTTTGTCTCACCCTGGTCATTCCACAGATATATAAACCCTTTCCCCTAGTTCCAACAGACCTCACTACCTCTGAGGATGCTTGCCATAGATGCAGGCGAAACGTCAGGAGAGAATGCCTCTAGACCATGGCCATATAGCCCGAAAAAACCTATAACAACCCAATAAACATCATCATCATAATTGTGGTGGTTATGAAGAGCACCCCCCCCCAAAAAAAAAAAACTTAGCAAGATATACTCAGAGGAAAAGATTTGTCTGGCAGTAAGAACATGGAAATGGAAAAAGTGACTTATTTATTCTTTTTTTTTTACAGGTCACACTTCCAGATGGCCACCTAAACAACCACGTACCTCTAATGACAGATGATGCTATGCATTAGCACCTTCTTTGGACACTATTATCCCTTCTGCCTAATGGAGAAGATGCTTTTTTAAAATAACAAAACATTGTGCAATATGTTAAGACAGTGCTGATGGGCAGCAAAAACAAAAATCAAGTCTTTTAAAAAAACACACACACACACAAACCGTATCCGTGTGGCTTGTCTGTCCTTTTCACAAAGAAGACAAGGAATCCAATGAGATCAGCCTCTCTTCTCGAATGAACAGATTCAGTGTTGGGATGTGACTGCAATTCACTGGACCGTTTGTTACAGAAAAGGAAGGTGGCCGCTGAAATAGCCGCACTTGGCGCTCTGGGTTCCAAGTGTCACAAACACTCCCCAGTGCTCATGTGCAAAGGAGCAAACCAGGAGGGATGTGTACTTTCGACATGCATTGTACCAGGAAAAAATAGCAGGACAAGTCTAAAACTACATTTTGTTGTCACATTATTATTATTATTATTATTATTATTATTATTATTATTTAAGTGGGATGCATGTAGAAGCTCAGGAAATGGAATATAATTCACAAGAGAGAGAAAACTATACTACACTATTGAGGGTACAATCTGGATGCAGAGATATGCACAAAGTAGTTGTTTGTTAAGCAAACATGGGAAATACGTGTAGCACATACAAAGAGAGTGGAATGGGGTGGGAATCATGTTCTTTGATATTTTCACAAATTGACAACGGGAGGGATGGGGGTCATATTCTTTCCTGGTTGTTTTTGCCCTCTTGATTTACACCCATCCTGAGCGGGGTTTCGCCAAAAATATTTTTATTTCTGCCAGCTTCTTTTGTTTTTCAGAGTGGGAGATAACATCTAGACCAGGGGGTCCTCAAACTAAGGCCCGGGGGCCAGATCTGGCCCTCCAAGGTCATTTACCCGGCCCTCGCTCAGGGTCAATCTAAATCTGAAACTACTTGAAAACACACAACAATAACAATCCTGTCTCATCATCCAAAAGTAGTCCACACTTCCCATTGAAATACTAATAATTTTATATTTGTTAAAATTGTTCTTCATTTTAATTATTTAAGTGGATTTTGCACTACAAATAAGATATGTGCAGTGTACATAGGAATTCATTCATGTTTTTATCAAATTATAATCTGGCCCTCCAACAGTTTGAGAGACTGTGACCTGGCCCTCTGTTTAAAAAGTCTGCGGACCCCTGATCATGACAGTTCTAAGTGTCTAGATCAGTGCTTCTCAACCTGGGGGTTGGGACCCCTGCGGGGGTCATGAGGGGGTGTCAGGGGGGTCGCCAAAGGCCATCAGAAAACACAGTATTTTCTGTTGGCCATGGGGGTTCTGTGTGGGAAGTTTGGCCCAATTTTATCATTGGCGGGGTTCAGAATGCTCTTTGATTGTAGGTGAACTATAAATCCCAGTAACTACATTTCCTAAATGTCAATGTCTATTTTCCCCAAACTCCACCAGTGTTCACATTTGGGCATATTGAGTATTTGTGCCAAGTTTGGTCCAGACCCATCATTGTTTGAGTCCACAGCGCTCTAGATGTAGGTGAACTACAACTCTAAAACTCAAGGTCAATGCCCACCAAACCCTTCCAGTATTTTCTGTTGGTCATGGGAGTTCTATGTGCCAGATTTGGTTCAATTCTATCGTTGGTGGAGTTCAGAATGCTCTTTGACTGTAGGTGAACTATAAATCCCAGCAACTACAACTCCCAAATGACAAAATCAATCCCCTCCCCCCAACCCCACCAGTATTCAAATTTGGGCATATTGGGTATTAGTGCCAAATGTGGTCCAGTGAATGAAAATATATCCTGCTTGTGAGATATTTCCATTACGATTCATAACAGGAGCAAAATGACAGTTCCGAAGTAACAACGAAAATAATTTTATGGTTGGGGGTCACCATAACATGAGGAACTGTATTAAGGGGTCGCATTACGAAGGTTGAGAAACACTGGTCTAGATGTTATCTGAGTCCCTCTACAGAGGTAGAGAAGATCGGGATACAAAAGTCTTAAATTAATAATAAATAAATACGTTTTTAATGTATATGTGGGGAGGGGGAGCAGTATTAGAAGCAAAATTGTCTAAGGCCCCTTCTACACTTCCCCTTTATCCCAGGATCTGATCCCAGATTATCTAGCAGTGGAGACTCATAAAATCCAATTTAAATCAGATAATTTAGGATCACCCAAATACCTGGGAGTCACTCTGGACCGTTCTCTGACCTACAAGAAGCACTGCCTGAACATCAAGCAAAAAGTGGGTGCTAGAAACAATATCATACGAAGGCTGACTGGCACAACCTGGGGATCACAACCAGACACAGTGAAGACATCTGCCCTTGCGCTATGCTACTCTGCTGCTGAGTACGCATGCCCAGTGTGGAACACATCTCACCACACTAAAACAGTAGATGTGGCTCTTAATGAGACATGCCGCATTATCACGGGGTGTCTGCGCCCTACACCACTGGAGAAATTACACTGCTTAGCCGGTATTGCACCACCTGACATCCGCCGGGAAGTTGCAGCCAATAGTGAAAGGACCAAGGCAGAGACATCTCCAGCTCATCCCTTGTTTGGGTATCAGCCAGCATGTCAACGACTTAAATCAAGAAATAGTTTTCTTAGATCTACAGAGACACTCGCTGGAACACCTCAGCAAGCGAGAGTCCAAAAGTGGCAGGCTCAAACCCAGCACCTCAATCTGTGGGTGATACCAGATGAGAGACTCCCCCTGGTCACACAGAAGACTGGGCTACTTGGAAGGCGCTGAACAGACTGCGCTCTGGCACCACGAGATGCAGAGCCAATCTTAAGAAATGGGGCTACAAAGTTGAATCCACGACATGCGAGTGGAGAAGAGCAAACCACTGACCACCTGCTGCAATGCAACCTGAGCCCTGCCACATGCACGATGGAGGACCTTCTTGCGGCAACACCAGAGGCACTCCAAGTGGCCAGATACTGGTCAAAGGACATTTAATCACTACCAAGTTTGCAAAATTTGTGTGTTTTTTAAATCTGTTTGTTTTGTTCTGTTAGAAATGTAATACAATGTTCTGCTTGTGGATGACACGATAAATAAAATAAAATAAAAATAAATCTAGGATCAGATGCTGGGATATATGGCAGTGTAGAAGGGGTCTAAGCCTGGCCCAAGAAAATACCAGACTCCTGAAGCCCTTGAACAAGCAGCTGTTGACAATAATTCAGATTTAAGGGATACTGCAGTGGTCACAGTTTTATTTTATTTATTGTGTCAGAAACAAATTGAGAATACGGTTATAATGTACAGAAAAAACCACCAACAAAGTTAAAAATTTGGCATTATACTAAATTTCCTTTGACTAGAAACTAGCCACTTTGAGTGCCACTCGTGTCGCTGTAACAAGGCCCTCCATTGTGCATGTGGCAGGGTTCAGAGTGCATTGATATTCAAGCAGTGCTTCTTATAAGTCAGAACATGGTCCAAAGTAACTCCCAGGTATTTTGTTGTGTTGCAATGCTCCAGTGGAATTCCTTCCCAGGTAATCCTCAGAGCTTGAAATACTTGTCTGTTCTTAAGATGAAAAGCACATGTTTGTGTTTTAGATGGATTAGGAATCAGTTGGTTTTCTCTGTAATAGGCAGTAAGAGCACCAAAAGCTTCAGAGAGCTTCTATTCAACTATTTCAAACTCACTGCTTGAGTGGTGATGGCATGATCGTCAGCATAGATGAAACTCTGTGCCTTCTGGCAGTGGCTGATCATTTGTGTAAATGTTAAACATTGATGGAGCAAGCACTCTCCCTTGAGGCAGGCTGTTCTGTTTTCTGTGACTCTTCTGTCACAGCAATATATCTGGAATTTCAGTGTGCCATTTGATTGTGTACAAGCATCTCACTTTGGTTGTCATGCTGAACCCCCAGTGCATAGACATGTAATAGATGTGTACAAAGATTTTAAATTACATTACGGTATTTTGCGTATTGGGGGGTGCTTTTGTAAACAACCCGAAGCCATAAGGACAAAGCCAAAATAGATGCAGCTCAAAGAAAAATAACTGTGGTAATTGGACATGTGGGAATCGGTGGGTTTCACAATATGTGTCTACACAAAAGTAGCTTCTACTGTATCCAGTGGGGCTTCTTCACAGGTAAGTCTGTATGGGATTGGAGCCTACGTGGGCCTGTATCTGTTGGTATAATAGTAATAAAACTTTATTTATACCCTGCTCCATCTCCCCCAAGGGGACTCGGGGTAGCTTACATGAGGCTATGCCCATCAGTACAATGTCAGAGTATTGAAGCTTTGCCAACGGAAGGATTGCTAGATCAGCAGACACTGTGTTCAGAAATCAGGACTCTGCAAGCTTTCAGTTACAACAGAAAACTAAGTTTTATTAAGTACATCTATACACGTCTATTCACAGCAAGCAACAAACAGGAACTAATAGGCACAAACAGCAGTCTCTGAACATCTGCTTATCTGACTTCTGGCTGAGACCAGATCCTCCCTCTTCTTCCCAGCCAGAGAACACGTTATCTCATTTCTGTCAAGGTTACATTTTCTCTGCCTCAGCACAGTATTTCTAATACACAATTGAACAGAATAGAATCCATCTTGAAATTCATCTTAATCCATCTTGAATTACATAGAAACACATTGAAAAACACACATGCATAACCAAATAATCCTGACATACAATACACACAATCTAACACAAAAGCATAACAAAACCAGAAAATAAAACACATAAAATGGAAAACCAATATAATAAATGACACAACAATATAAAAACTATTAAAACACAAAATATTTTCACTGGGCAGGGCCAAATTCAATGATAAAATTTTAAAACGCTAGGAGATAGGACAATGTAAATTATCGGGGAGGAGGATCCGGGGATAAGAAAGGATTTAATTGCACAAACCATAAAATAAAGTGCTTCTGAGGTCAATTTGTGCAAAGTTGGTCAGGGAGTATCTTACATTCATTCATTGAAGGCACTTTGGAATAACAAGGTTTTCATGAAGCCATATGTCCAAAGATACGTATCTAGTTAACACGATTTTTGTTCCTGGGTTATGAAAGTCATTTCCTAATTGGTTCTGTCATAAAAACATGGGAAAGGTTTATTAAACTGCAAAAACTTTGTTTTTTGCGGGACATCCTGCAGCACATTTTGCGATAGTTTTTCAATGAATATCTCAAGTCGTAACCAATTCATCAGAGTTTGTGACAGCCACAAAAACAAAGTTTCTGGAGTATAACAACTACTTTCAAAGTAAGTTCCGCACAACTGAACAGAAAATCACACTTTCTAACCAGGGACAGAAACTTTTTTCACATCTTGTTACATAGTGTAATTTATTATACATCACAAGCCTACTTTGATTTCTAATGAATGTCTTCATTCAGAGTTCTTAGCTGCACACAATAAACTAGAGGTATTCTATGTCAATTTTTGTAA